TTTTCCAGTCAGTGGGGACTTCACCGGACTGACCTGACTTTTGGAATATGATAGAGAGGGGTTTAGCAACTTCATCCGCCAGTTCCCTCAGTACCTGTGAGTGTATCCCATCGGGTCCCATGGACTTGTACACTTGCAGGTTCATCAGATGGTCACAAACCTGATCTTTACTTACAATGGGCAGTTTTTTGTCCAACCCCTGGCATTGTCTTCTGTGACTTCGTGAGTGTGGCTGGAGCCCTTGCCAGTGAAGACAGAGGAAAAGAAGTCATCGAGAACCTCAGCCTTCTCCATACCACTTGCCACCAGTTCACCTGTTTCCTTTCTGAGGGGTCTCAGACCTTCCCTGATCTTTTTCTTACCACTAATATACCTGTAGAAACTTTTGCTGTTTCCCTTGATCTCTCTGGCTAGATTTAATTCTAACTGAGCTTTTACCTTTTCTAACCAGGTCTCTTGCTGACCCCCACTCTAGCTGTTCTATCTTCCATTCTTTGCAGAGTTTCTTTCTGTTTGACAGTGTGTCCAGGAGTTCCTTGCTCATCCAGGCAGGCTTCCTGGCATTCTTTCCTGCCTTCCTCTTTGTGCATTCATCTGTAGGTGTAAATCTTGACCTAGCACAAACAACCTATTTGTTTGCAACTACAGGCTGGTCCAGCCAAAGGTAAACTGGTGTGCTAAAGTAGTAACACATCTTGGCCAGTTCTGGATACAGCATGTCCTATCTCCTTCTATAAATTTAGTTCTGTTCCTATTTTTAACTGAATACATATTAGTCAATGAGAACACTGATCTCACTAGGCATTGCTTGTATTCTAAGGAAAGCTGCATGCTATATTCAGTAAGAAACACCTGATTTCTCCTAATAAACTCTCTATTTTCCATAAAGAAATTAATTATCTGCAGTAAAGACATTATACCAGTATAGATCAAAGACAATACATTTATTAAACTTTGAGGAAAACAAACAAAACACTGACATAAGGAAAGTTAAATAGAAACTGAAAGACACATCTTCTGACCGGCGTATAACAGCTTGTGTGACCAGTAGAGTACCAAAATGACATTCTGAATTTGACTGAGGTATTTAACTATTTTTGGCAATAGAAACAGAGTAAGAAACTTCTTCCAAACACACACATAGGCATTACTTGCATTAGTGTCTACCATCTACGAAATTTTATATGAAACTAAATAATGTAGCTGTTAGAAAAATATAGCAGCAAAATAGCAGAATATCTAATGCACATTTACCATAAAGTACGTGCTAAACTTAAAAATCCCACCTGACAGTTGGGCCCAGTCCTGTAGCCCTTGGTCACAAAGAGAGCCAGTGGGAGACATCGAGCAAGATCTGCATTTGCTGCACTTTATATACTTCGGCCTCAAGCCAGAGAAAAGAAACGAACATCCCCATTTACTTCCTAAGAAGAACCTCGCTGTGATGGAACTATGTCCTAGGAAGGTAACTTCTGAAGCAATAATAAAGCTCTGTCCAGTTCTTAACATACGTAAGAACAAAGAGAGCTTGTTTCAGTTTTCTCTCCTTTCCTTTTGAAAGTCTGCCTAACGCAGTCAGAGGAGATGCTGTTAGGCTGCAAAATGAAAAACACTTTTGAGCAATTCCCTTGTTCCACTCATTATATCTTTAAAAATTAACTGGTGGCTAACTCCTGAAGTCCTTATTTTTTTTAATCAAAACTTTATGTGGTGCAAACTAATAAATGTAGCGATACCTTTGGCTGTTGGAGGGCTTCAGAAGTTGGTCAAATATGAAGAGACTATGCTGCTAAGTCACCAGAGCTTATTCATGTGTTCTCAAAAATTTTCAGTGAAAGTACAGTTGCACACTGTTTAATACTGTGGTCACAAAAATTTTGCTTATAAAAAAATGTATTATTAGCACTGACCAGAATCTGACAAAGAACAGAATAATCTGCCCAAATATTTTGTGCATTTTAAAGTTTTCTACAAAACTTTAAACTGAATGTGTATTTCTATATTAGTTACTATAAGAAAGTAATAGAATCAGTTACTTTAAGTTTCTACAATATTTAAAAATTTCTCTAGAGGTCTGTCTGGATGTATAAAATGGCTCTGTAAAAATCTATTTTTTCTTTTTGCTGTGAACAAAACTTCTATAAAACAGAATAATCCTTTTTAAGACTGCAGCAATTACATTCCTTAGATGGGTCAATATAACTGAACTACAGTGTGTACTGTAATAGAAAATATTCATGTTTTTATGACTAAAGTATTAAAATATATATTATTAATTTATATAAATCAAAATAGATATGTTATTTATTCAATCTACTTTTGTTTTTCCACCTATATGTTCAATTCCAAATTACTGATACAAAGATCTTTGCCAACAGCACGGTTTTTACTAAATTCTTAGACCTGAAACCACCTGATTTTTAGCTTTATCAAAATGCATGATTTACTGTACATTATACATAGCAATTTCAATGTTTAGCATCACAAAAATCAACACCCACAAGAACAAGACAGCCACTGCTAGTAAAACAGTCTCAAGACAATTTCATAGATAATATTTACAGAACACAATAGGAATATTTTGATGAGTATTTTATGTTGCAATATTTCAGATAAAATTGTAAGAACCACGAGAAACTTTTAGACTTCATTTTGGTTTCAGCAGACAAGCATAAGCTGACTCTCTGCTGTGGAATACTGCACACACCTAGTCGAAGAAGAGCTATGGCATGATTTTGTTCAGCTGGTCTGTGCTCACATAGCCACAAGACATGTTGAATTCCTTGTCTGGCACAGGCAGTGCAGTTGCGTTGAGGACAAGGCCTTGTGGAGAATGAACGATATGGATAGACGTATAGTCTGGGACAGGCATCTCTGGGGTTTCTGCTGTCGAAGCTCCAAGGTTGACACCAGTAGTGGTAAGGCTCTCTGTGGTGAAGTAAGCATCCTCGCTACAGCTTTGCTCCTGAACATGCAGCTCATCCTCTTCATGGGAAGTCACAGCAATACATTTTTTCACATCTGCCTCACAGAAGTAGGCGTTGTCCATGGTGTAGTTTTGTTCTGTGCAGCCTTCACACTGTGCTCTCCCCATCTTCGATTTCTGCCCTGGTGAAAGTACAACACTGCCTGCTGGCGTAATATCACTCACTTGTGTGTAAAGGTCAGTACTTGTCAACGAATTCTGGTTACTTAGCTGGGTATGGACTGATGGACTAGCTGACTCAATGCTGTCTGCAAAAGGTGGCCACAGCTGGCTATTTTCAGACCGAATACTTGTAGGTGGCTGTTGGGTGTCTGTGTTGGCAAGGCTTGTAAGTGACTCATCATTATGTTTTCCACCAAGGCACAAGAGATCCTCTTCTTTTTCAGTTACCTTTTTGAACTGATCAATATCAGAGATGGCATCACAGGTGTCGCTTGCACTGAAGTCTGTCTCTGGATTATCTGGTTCACAACAACTGGCCCGTCCAGAATCATCATCCTTCGCTCCCAAGCAACTGTGTGATTTCAGATGATCTTCACTCAGGAGCCTGTTGGTATCTGAGACTCTGTTCTTTTCGTCAGGGTCTTCTATGTCCAACTCAATAAACTCAACCCACAAGTCGTCATTGTATAGCTGTGTCTTGTAGTTGTCATGGCTGGCTAAGATGGAATTCACTTCATCTAGCTTTCCTTTCTGTTAAGCAAGAAAAAATTAATGTTATAAAGGAAATAATTAAAAAGCTTGTACTTTTTATGATGTTAACTTAAGGAAAGGTAACTGTAGCTGATGCTATAATGGCAAGGGTTTTTTTTTAATTACTTAATGAAAACTAATTTTGTGGCAACTTCCCTATATCATAGTTCTTTCCTACACAAATTTTCTGCCTGGGACAACAACTGTCACCTGCTACTACTACAATAATTCCCACTATATATTTCAGAGCACAGTATTACCTTCAATAGATCTGGGTCAATCCCTTTAATCTTTGGAACTGGCACAGGAGGAAAAATCAGCATTTTTAACCTGGAAAAAATAAATGATGGCTTGTAAGTGACAGTGGTCCTTTTTGAGGAGGTTAGAAAGAAGAGAGTCTTACGTTGCACTTATACTTAATTACTTAAAACCTGAAATGTTTCAAGATTCAATTTCAAATAACTCTAAGGAAAGGAATGATTGTCTTATCTCATAGCAAATAAAAACCCACAAATTTTCTGCAACCTTGCTTGTTGAAATCACATACATTTATGTGCGGATCCATTTTGGAGTCCAGTCTTTGATAATTCAATGCTCTACAGAGAGAAAGTAAATTCTTAGAGCTCAGTCAATAGTTTCCCTTTTTGCAAAACTTTCAAAGGAACCTGATACAAGCCTCAATGTACAGAGTGACCTTCCTTTTTTTTTTTTTTCCACTTCAGGGACATGGTAATCTTGCATAAACCCAATAAATTTAAATAGGAGAACAGAAAAAGGGAGTTGGTGAAGAGCAAATTATGTTAGAACTAATAAATAAAACAGAAACACAAGTGCAAAAATTTAGACTAGTATTTTGCCATCCCTATGACAATTCTGTTTTCTGAATTATTAATGTAACAAGTTGTAAATAATGACAGGTTTTAACCTTGTAACAAAAGCACTAGAAAATTGCTTATGCATATACTTACTGTGAAATATATATTATTCTAATTCTTCATAAAGTGAATTTGTCATTATTTGAGCAGACCAAAAAAAGGAAGAAGAAAAGAGAATCCAAGCAGAAGGATGATCTTCCAATAATAATAATCTGACAAGAGCAGGTCATTTTCTCCACTTTACCTTACCTTCTTCTTTTACCTCCTTGCTTCTTTTGCAGATAGATTAACTGTAGTTCCCAAATGGAAAATTCAGCATTGTCTTTATACTGGGTTACTTGCCTATTTTGGAAATTAAACTGTGAAATGGTAGTTCCAAATCCAAATATTAGTTTAGTTGCATTGTTAGTGACCTTGGTGAGGTCCTGAGAGTATCAGAGGAATCTTAGAGTGCTAGAAAGAAGTTTGGGCACCTTCTGCTTAACTACAGCAGGTCCAAATTCCCATCTCATTTTTTTTTTTTTTTTGGCAGACTCCCAAAGTTCTACCCAGCATGCCTCATTGAGAGCCAAAAATCCAGTAATTTTCCACCTAATCCCTGGAGGGGCTGTGTTAGCTGTGCACTGGCTGGGCCCTCAGGGTAACAGTTTAAGACTGGCACTTACAGCTGAATCCACAAATCGGCTATTCTGACAGGACTAACAAAATAAAGGATTTTACCACTTGCTGCCCGGAGAAATCATTCAGGAGGGACAACTACGCTATGCTCCTTTCTGGCCTTGCATAATTGAAGCCTGCTTCTCTCAACTCTAAAAGAATATAGCCTAACCCTATGGCATCTGTACTAAGGAAACTGTTTCAGATCTTGTGAGATCAGAACTGAGGAAAATATGAACTAGTATCTTTTCAGATACAGGGGGAAACTGAGCTTGGATATTTTGCATGATGGGAAATCTATGCAGCCTGCTTCTCTGCAGAATACACAGCCACTCTCATCACCACATGCCCCGGTTTGACAGAAAGGGTGCAGGCCCATATGTCTAGAAAAATTTTCCAGATGAAGAGTCCTCAGTTGAAAAAAGCCTCCTTCAGCAGTCATGATAAGCATGGAAGATATTGATAAGCTCTGATCAGAAACATGCTTCAGCCCTCAGGAGCTTCTGTGACCAAGCCACTCCTTGCTCATGGAGCAAGCTGGTCATGAGCTCCTGGTCCCTTGTGTGAGTTGTTCTTGCCTCCTTCTGACGCATCAAGCTTTTGTCATGCACTGTATCAGGAGCCTCGCTCTTAACTCTGGGACTGGGATGCTGTTGCAGGGAGTGGCTTCCTGAAATCAAGCTCTGCCAAAGCATAGTGCTGCTTGCCTAAATTATTTTTTTTAGAGCTGCTCCAACTGCACCATACTGTTTTCATTTCAATGACACGATCTTAGGCAGCTATGTGCAGAACACCTTGGTGTTCATTTTCAGCATGTGAATACAAGACCATAGACACGTATCCACTGGGACCTGACCATGATGTCTACAGCAGTAGTGGTAAGACATCCAATCTGAACTACTGTGCTAAAACGTGTCCTTGAACATACATACACACATTACAGGATAAATTTCCTCTGAGACCATTTTTTCATTTTTATATTTGTGTCGTCGTTTCATTTTTATAATTTTATAATTCTTATAAATGACACAATCCCGTGCTTTGATTTATTTTCTTCCTGCTATTTATAGAAGCTGCAGTCTATCCACAGAGACCAAATACTCCCCTATGACTCAAAATCTTT